AGATCTGTGATCTCAATGGGATTTGTCTAGTTGAATAAAGGTCAATAAATAGGGAAAAAAACAGTGTCTGTTTATATATTCATTTACCGTTATTTACCTAGGCAAATCCTATTGAGATCACAGATCTCTTTTGCAAGGGTAACCTAGACCTGAAGACAACCTATTGTGCATATTTTTCTGCTGTGGGGGAAACCGGAGTACTCTGAGAAAACCAACGCCAGCACCAGGAGATGCTGGCTTCAGTCTCTGCAGGTAGATACACTGTAAATGTTCATATGAGTATTTATAAAGTCCTATTCAATTATTTTAATATAAATGTACATGTCATCAAGGAGAGAGTGTGTTACTTATACGATATCAGTGTGAGTGTCTCGTGAATGTCTGTACCTTTACATTGGTCYCTGGAGACGTCGAGACATTCAGCAACATGCCATCTCTGGGACTGTACAACCAAAATAAAGAATGGCATCTGACAGATGGGACAATAGTCTTCAGATAATGATGATCTCTCAGCTGCATTTTGGATTGCCTCTTTAGATGACGCGTTGTTAGCCTCTGACTTGCTATTTGAACAATCTCCACTTTCAGCTGGTTTGGCCTGTTCACTCKTTTGGAATGCCTTGACAGACAGAGAAGTGTCTTTCTTGGAGGTTTTTCTAATAGCGCACCTTCTTTTGGTCACAGACTGCGGTTCCTTTTTTGTTTTCTTCTCAAGAGGCTTATATTCCCAAATGTCACTTTCAGAGTCGTCCTTCTGTGACATTTGGACCGGAGGAAATTATAAAACGCCAGCGTTTCCTCCTCCAACCTGCGTTACAACACAATTACACAAGAACCGTTTGATAAACAAAAGTAACAATGACATTCCTTATTAGTAATTTGTGAAATTCTCTTTTAAATGTTTATAGAAAAACTATTACCAACAAAACACAACTTCATRTGTTTATATAATGTCATTTGCACCTCTGAAATATATAGCAACGCTTACCGCCACAGTACAATACTAAAATAAAGTAAAAACGACAGGATAAAAAGAACTGCACTTTCGAYACATTACTGACTTTAAATTATTTAATTATTTGATGTTGTAACTTTTAAAAAATACAGTATCTTACTTTTGTTGTTTATTTTTAGTTTTAAGTAGCATAAAATTTAAATATAAAACTTAACATGAATAATATATTTTTCATCCTTGTATCGAAATCAGTAACGTGAATCTACATTGTTGTCCACAAAGCTCGCTGTGATTGGTTGTTTAGATTAAACGACCGTGATTGGTCAATTTTCTGACAGGCAACAGATGACGCTCCTCGTTTGTTGTAGTTGACGGAGCAAACATGGCGTCGCGGTGTAGCCTCTCTGCTATTTTTCACACTCAGAGTGAACTCGAATACGCTTTAGATGACGCTGCCACGCRAGAAGACAAAGAACAACTTGTTTACGAGTATCTGAAAAAGGCGGACGAGAAAGAGGACCTAAAAATCTCCGATTTCCACACAGGTTTGCTAATTCTTTAGCTTCGTTAGCAAATCAGCTCAGCTTGAGTTTGACAGCTGTGAGTGTGACAGGTCACAGGAGTTTGACAACTGCGTTTAAAATGAATGGTTACTGTTTACAGCTTTTTCTCGGTCTTATTACAGCTTTAAAGCAAATTCCCACCAGTTGTATGTTTCCTACATTGCTTGCTTGTTCTCTTCAACTCATTTACAGCAGYTGCAAAACTTCACTTCCTGTTGTGTGTTGTGTCAGCCCAAACAACTATTAAAACAGAAGTCAGTTTCTTGATGTTAACATATCTGTATAAGGAAATTGCTTGTAAATATACAGCAGGTTGTTGCACATTAGTATCATTCAATATTGTAAGCATTTTTTCTAATCTTATTTGCTTTGTTTTATTGAGGTTCCAGTCCTCCTTTGCTTCTTATTAACCAACAAATATGACTGCCAAAATTCACAAAGATGCAAATTTACCTGACAAAATAAGTGGCCCATTCATCCAACTATAATTTAGTTGTYTTCATTCTCCTCTCACTCGGGTCAGACTCTGGCTCCGACATGTAAGGCTGGATGGACAAGTCTTCCATTGCTGACATATTTTAATTAATTTGTAAATAAACAGTTTCTGTGCAGCTATAATCCTAAACCCTCTATCAAACTACAATGGAGCGATCCAGAGGCTGAATGAGGTTGGGGGTGTGAAGCTCCTTGTTTGGATTTAAAGAGACAGCGTCAAAATGAGTTGCTTGGAGGTCAAAAAAGGAGTGAAAAGGGGGCTTGTGGAGTTACAGTGAGAAGGAATTCAAAGCATTGCAGCTCCACTTTATATAGACCCCCCGACTGAATGATTTAAATGTGAAAAGGAAGTATTTAAAAGCCTGATATGCCTACTTTAAGTTTGCCTAAATATGACATCATCATTGTTCCCTCTGGCTCGCTCCAGGTTTAGAGTGGCTGAACACAGAGGGACCTTTGTCTTTGAACAAGGAGCTGGCTGGTAAAGTGGTGCTGCTGGACTTCTTCACTTACTGCTGCATCAACTGCATGCACATCCTGCCTGACCTGCACCAGCTGGAGAAGAGACACTCAGTTAAAGGTTTGTGCAAAGGTAGAAGGCAGCATGTATGGTGTTTTCAGTACTGTGATGAATAAACATTTTACACAACATGTAAAAAAAAATTCAAAAGCAAAGCAACATCTGTGAGTCGCAGCTGAGCGGAGCTGAACCCCAAGCCTCACACAAGTGATCTGGGGTGCTTCAGGCACTCTGCAGCGGCTGTGCTCTGYGGCAGCCGATCAAATTGTGGCACAATAACTGCACCATTTGTGCCAGATCTTACACAGCTGTTGATCAATGTTACCACAGTGGCTCGGGTCATCATCATATTTGTCTCCTGCGCCCACCTCATCCTCTCAGGTGGTGCGTGASAATTTTTCTGTGGATCATCTTTTTTTATGACAGCGGGTTTAAAAATATCTGCCAGCATCGTTTTGCTCTCTGCTCTTTTTTTTTTATAGTTATAAATTCATTCTGACAAATACATTATTTTTTATGAGCCCCGCTCTCGGACTTCTTCCCCGACGCGTTGACAGCTGTCAGTCAATCATCAAAGGACACGCCCACACCAGAAGTGTCTGCTTCATAATTACCCAGCTTGTTTCTGACAAATGTCCACGTATGAGCAACGTTCATGTAACGTGTGAACATACAGCGGGTAAAATAAGTATTGAACACGTCACCATTTTTCTCAGTAAATATATTACTAGAG